TGTTTCCAAGTTTTTCTTGCCAAGACAAAGATAATTTTGGGTAAGATAGCATAGATTCACATGCCAGTTACATGGTGGTTTTAAAGGACCTTCCTGATGCACATGAAAGTGACCTTGCTAGTCCTTTCTGAAGATAAGATCAGGGGGAGATGCTATAGTTTGGATCTGAAATGTCCCCCAAAAGCCCATGTGTTGAAGATCTGGTTCCCAGCCCATGGCACTACTTGGAGGTTATGAAACCTCTTGAGTAGCGGGACATAGTTGGACAAAGTTAGGTCACCGGGGCATGCTCTCGAAGAGGATACAGAAACTTATGCCTCTCCTTCTCCTTTGTTTTTTTGATGCCATGAAGTGAGCAAGTTGCTTTGCCATGCCTTTCTGCCATGTTCTGCCTCATCACTGCCCCAAAAGCAATGGGCCAACCAACCTTCATTGGGACTAACTTCAGAATCTTCTGAAATTATAAGCCAAAGTAAATCTTTCCTGTTTTTAAGTTGATGATCTCAGGTATTTTGTCATAGTAACATAAAACTGACTATATAGGCTCACAAGCCAAGGAAACTCACATTTTCAGCCTTTCTTACTTTATTAGTACCATACTAGATGCTTGATAGAGGCTCTCTCATCGTGTCATCACAGATGGGGGAAGTGTTATAAATCCCTTCTGCAAAAGAGATAAATAAACCTCAGAACAGCTCAGTGACTTGCCCAAGGTCCACAGTTAGTAAGAGGCAATTATCTGAAACCAGGTATACATGGATTCTACACTAGCATACCAAAATGTGCTGGAAACCAGAGAGGCTCCATGGTTCATTCTGATCCTATGCACTGGGCAACTTGAAGGCCATGTCACAGCTGTCAGTTGTGACAGCAAAAAATGATCACAACCATTACTAATTTCCAATCATGTTGTTCTGAATTTCTGTATTCTTTTAATCCTCTTTTTAAAAAATGCAGCGGTAGCCCTCTCCAACCTCTCCTTCCACAAGGAAGTGGAGGACCAGCAGCACGATTTCCCCTGCAAAACTTAGCAGATTTGTCTGACTCTGTGGCAACATACGCTGGAATCCCTTGCATTGCTCTCTGGCTTAGTCTGGCCATGCCTAGGGACTTCTTGCGGTGGTCTCCATTCTCATTCAGTTCAAGTGCTATCTTTCCACGATAAACCCCTCAAGGGAGAACTACAAATAGAAAGTCTCTTTTGTATAAGCTCAGAAAACCAGTATGCCACACACACAACAGGAGATGCCTGTGTGCTGATTATGTTCCAACTGAATTAGAATGTAATGCTTCGATCCATCACATTAGCTTGGTAGACCTCTGGGTTTAAAAGTGATTTGCTTATGCCATAAGAAATCAGCCAGTGAAAAATTAAGTATCATAACTAAGAAGGCACTTCTTATTCATCACAATATGTCTATAGGTGATTCATCACAGCAGCTGAAGTAAATGCAGTCAGGGTGAACACACATTATGAGCCATTAGCGTCTGCACTAACCACCAAAACCCTTTGAATTCCTTCACCACGGGAGATTGCAAGAGACCTGGAAGCCTGGTGGCGACAGGCCCCACCACAACTGTGACAAAGAGTATAAGCCCTGGAGTCAAGGTGAACGTAGATTTCAACCCCAGTTCCTCCCTAGCAGGATCTGAGGGAAGTTTTTAACCTCTTTTAAGTTTTTAGCCTTAGTTTCTTTATTTGAAGAGTGGGAATAATATATGTTTTTCATAGGATTGTTGTGAGGGTTCACTGCCACTAAATAGGAAGTATATAAGGGTATCTAGAGCACTGCAAGGGTTCTGTAATGTTCAGTGTTTTTGTTGTTAGAGGTATAAATAAATATCTGAATGGAGCCTCCCTTAGATGTCAACAAATATCCATCTGACCAATGTAGAAACAAACATGACAGTATCTACTGAAATTATCAGAGACCCTAATGACTTCAACAGGTCATCACTGAGTACACCAAAGAAAAATCAGTTGCAGTTCATCTTTCATTTATCCACACTTTGAAATGTTTAACCTATGTAAGAGATATCCCTTGTATGCTGTTTCCCTGGTATTGTTTCTGGAAAAAGCTTTTTCAAAGCAATCTAGAAAGCTACATTCTTAGTTAGGAAAGAATAATCAAAAAGTCACACAACACAATCTTCTTCTAATTTGGGAAATTTTTTACAAATATCTCTCTGCCCCTGCAACTGGCAAATTGTGAACCGGGTTCTGCTCAAATAATTCCAGCCAAGTAGACCTCGTAATGTTGCCAGACAGCCCTTGTAAGTTACTGTGACTGTTTCTTCTTAACATCATCAACATCTAAAGTATGAGCTCAAGGAACAAAACTTTAAGTCCCATGAAAGGTTAGCCTGAGTTGCTGGTTCACTGCTATATCCCCAGAGCCTTAGAACCAAGCAGACAATCCAGCATTCAAATAACAAGCATTTGGATGGATGGATGGGTGGGTGGGTGGATAGGTGGATGGACGGGATGGGTTGATGGATGGATGAGGTGTCTTTTCTGGCTGTTATAGAATAAATTAAACAAATTTATTTTCCTATCATACTATGGCTTAGAGCCCAAGGGACGCAATAATGAACTTACATTTAAATTTAAGATTTGAGGGGATGTCACGTGAAATAGCTACCGAACCCTAACTATCTTAAGGCCTATAAACTATCCCAGGCTTGGGTGTCAGCCATAGAATGCTGACAGCAATGACAGCAGCAACAGCAGTGAACTGCCCACTGATTATAGGGGCCTGGTTAGTTGTCAGGAAAAAATATAATCCATTGATTTTTAGGTATTAGTATTAACAGATGTGTGCCTGATTACTCAGAATTGTATTTGTTTCCAAATACCTTCTTTTTTTCTTCAATCTTTAACAACATATAATGCACAATCTATTTTGAACTTAATGAAATTCCTATGACCTTTAAAATGTATATAATTCTAAGTTGGTCACAAGAACAGACTTTCGACAAAACCTATTCATACTTTTAAAAACTATGTGTCTATTTATTGACAACTAGTCAGTATGCTCTCTCTCTGTCAAATTAAGTCATTGATTCTTAAGAGTGCTCATATTACAAATAAATATATGAATGCATTCACTTTTATTAGTAATACAAAAGATAAGACACCCTGCACCAAACTGACTGTATCATACCTTGCATTGTTTTTTTCCTCTTTTGCAGAATTTTATTTGTTAAAAGTTTCAGTTCATGCTCAAACGCAGATTTACATTTCTCTTCACAGAAGGAGGGGAGAAGAATTAAGTACCTGGTACCCTGCAAAAGCCCAGGCACGGAGTTATCAGTGGAATTCTTCAAAGTGACACAGGGCTAGACAAGGGGTTCCTTGCTGGTACAACCAGGTCACAAGCCTAAGAAGGCTTGACGGGTATGGCTGGCTCCATCCCCAGGACCCCACTCTGTTCCCAATCTGGGCTTTGCTGCCTGGGCTGGGCTGCTTCTCCTGCTCCCTGGCTCCCAGGACCTCCAAGCTCCAGGAATTTGGACTGAGTGGTAGAGACATCGCCGGCAGAGACGACAATCACCAGTTTCCTCCCTGTTCTGTCTTGTGATTCAAAGCAGATTCTGCTCCACTTTTTTTAAAAGGGAGCACATAGTGCTGGAGACCCACAGAAACAGAACTCAGTAAGAGAACTCAACACCGTGCCTCAAGAGACTGTGAGTAAGCAGCTCATCTGTGGTGAGCCACAGTGGGGCTTGGGTTTCAGGCAGCCTAGGGCATCACGATCTGATTGCTAAGGGCCAGATATGCCTGTGGGAAGTTACAGCAGCTGCAAGACTCTTAAAGTGGGATCTGAGGCTTTCAGGAATGACCCTGACCTGGGGCTGGCTACCTCCAGGTGCACAAACATAGGCACATCCCCACTCTAATGCTCCCAAGATCACCCATGCTCTGCATTTGTACCTGGCAATAGGAGAAAGAGAAAACAGAGGGTAGTTCTCTATCTTGGACCTTTGTCTGAAGGAAACCCCACTGAACTCGGGGCCTTGCTTAAATACTTCCATAAGAAGTGACTTTGAATGGAGCCTCTATCACATCAGTCCAGTATGATTCCACAGTCAGAGCACTTAGAAAAGATTATCAGCCATCCGTGTGGCATATTTATTAAAAGCACTATTTTGTTTTATTTTCTCTCCTGGCATTAATTTCTAGCTAATGGATGTTCTCTGTTCCTTGGAAGGGTATAGTTCTGTGGTAGGAACTTTCTTTTGCATAATTCTACCCTCTGTAAAAGTTCTTTTTTATGAAATTAACTCACATTACAAGAATTCTGGAATTCTTGGTGATAATCTAGCCACATATCTTTTTGGGGGGAGGGACTGTTGGGACAGAGTCTATCTATGCAGTTCAGACTGGGCTTGAACTCACTATGTAGCACATGTTAGCCTCAAACTCATAACAATCCACCTGCCTCAGCCTCAAGGGTGTTGTGATTACAGGCATGGACTACCACACCTAGCTGACATGTCAGTGTTTTAAAGTATTTGATAGACCACTCAGAAAAGCAGGATTGGAGTTACGACCCTGTTGGTTTCTGATGTAAATGGGCCACTGAGCTCTCTAAATCTCATTCAGATTCTCTATTGTTGAAATATAATAACAGCCACCTAGTAAGATTGTTGGAATGATTAACTGGGAATGATAACATATGAAGTCCTTTATAAGAGGGTAGATAACTACTGATTATTATTAGTATCATTATTATTTGTGATAAGCATGGCACAGCTATAAGCTGGCTGAATATAAAACACTGAGAAGTTCCCAGTGCAGTAAAGCAGGCTGGTGGGTGGTACCACAGGTGGGTGACCAGGACAGTTCAGTGACCCTCTCCCTCAGCCATTCCCAACTCCACACTCAGACACTCATGCACATGAGCTGGTGTCCTGCTTCTCTGTGGAACGGCCCTGTTCTCATCACCTGCCTCAAACTGAGTCTCTTCCTTTTGAACTGCAGAAGGCCTCCCGCTGCAATGTTGCCTCCCCTGCCAGTCACCCTCTTCCTCCTTCCCTCCTGCTTCCCGGGAAGAGGAAGCAGTCACCTCCTCCAGGAAGGTCTGCCCTGGCTAAAGACCGAGTTTGCACTCCGCCTCTACCGCAGCGTGGCAGCAGGGAAAAATGGGACAAATTTTGTCATCTCACCCGCTGGTGTGTCCCTTCCACTGGAGATTCTACAGTTTGGAGCCCAGGGAAACACTGGCCGGCAGCTGGCAGATACCTTGGGATACACTGTGCACGGTAAGAGGCCTGTCATGCACACCCTTTCTCTCCTGCTCACTTTGACACTCACCCTTGCACACATTCTTGCTCAAGTCCCTTCTCAGGCTATCTCAGACAGGGGTGATTAGCTGGTGTGCAAATCCACAGGGGGACAACCACTGGGCGTGAATGCAGTAGAAGACATTCACACTCTGGAACAGTGACTACCCTTGACTGTGAAGGTTCCCTTCTGACTTTGGGTTCCATGGCCATATTTCAGTTTCACTTCATACACCCTTTTATAGTGCTCACCAGGTGCCAGGCAGTGCGAGAAGCACCGTAAAATATGAATTAAATGAACTGCCACAGCAGTCTTATTGGGACTGAAGACAAGCAAACAGGCACAGAAAGTGGAAGCAATTTGCTGGTGGTCACACAGCAAGGGGCAGAGCTGGCACTCAGCCCAGACTGTTGGGCTCTGGAGCCCAGGCTATTGACCAGCCTGCTTTTATGAATCTGTGACTTCTGGCCAGTGCCTGACCTGCCAACTTATTTCTGTAGATTCTATACTTTAGCAGAGCTCTGCAGCAGCTGTGAGAGTCTCTTGCGTGTAGCTCGGCCTCAGCTGAATGCTTATCCTCAGTGCCTGCCAAGTCCACACTCAGGCAGCACTCGTGTGCATGATTTTCTTCTTCTCCATCTCAGGATAAGCTGTCAATAAAACAGATGAGAGTGACCTTTGCATAAATTATTATTTATGAGAAGCACAAGAATTAATACCAACACAGCCTGGTGAGAGCAAGCTTTGCAATGGAGTCTTGAGTTGGCGAGTAAAGGTTAGCATTCAGCATGCTGGGCCACAAGGCACCAGATGAACTCCCCACCCTCTGAATCCACACCCTGTCCCCTGCCAAAGCAGTTCCCATGATCCTGCTGGCCTACAGACAAGTGTGTGTTCCCTCTGGGGATAACTGAGGTTGAAGACAGTTTTTTTGAATGTAATTGCTCTCGGAAAGTATATCGCAGCAGTGCTCACAGCCCCCAAGTTATTCTTCACCTGCAATACATTCAACCAAGGAAATCTGCAAGGTCTTGGGAACTGCTGCTGCAAAGGCCAGTGTTGTGCTACAAACACATAAGGAGAACCCTGAACGCAAGCAGCTCACTCTCAGATGAGCAGTATACCTAGAAATAACCTCTAATTCAGTGCCATGCGTGCATTTAGGCAAATTAGGTTAGTATGTGGAGGAAGTGCTTAATTCTTTCTGCTGGCAGATCAGAAAGTTCCCCCAAAGACATGACATCTGAGCTAGGTTATGAGGAATCAGCCTTTAAACAGAGCCTCACAAAAGTCAGGATTGGAGAGAGTGAGAAATACAAGTGCCACTACCCCACAGGGAAGGGAAACGGTGTGATCAGTTCTCTGTTGTCAGGTACAGTCTTGTGCCTGGTTAAAGCAATGTGATGATGATCAGAGTTTTCACAGAGCCCATGAGATGAGGCTGGGCGTGCTCAGGGTGGTATGGCTGCAGAATCATACAGCCCGTTAGAGAATCGGCAAATGTCAAGAATGCTTAATAGTCAAACTCTGTGGAACAACAATCCCCACGAACTTTCTTAATCATAAACTGGTTTATCATCTTATGGAGCCATAGGTAATTATCAAGAACAAGAACGTACTACTTTCAGAACTCTGATTCATAGAACTCTGTGCATTGGTTTGCACCAGGACAGCTCCGAGAAGCTTGTGTGCACTGCTTAAAACTCCACACCAGGGCTCATCACTTGCCCTAGCCCAGTCTTTCTTATAAATGTTGATCCCTACCAATAACGCAGCCATAAAACCAGAAGCTAAGCACATCCCAGGAAACTGATGGCACTGTGCTTGTTTAATTAACAGAAAGGTCTGCCCAAGTTTGCAGGCAATACATCAGTACTGTCTTCTCACTGTGTATCCAGGCTCTATGTGGGAACCAGGAGTCCTGCTGCTGGTCCTGCAGCACCAGATGAGTTCGGAACAGAAAGCAGAGATCTCCTCCAAAAGCACCCTGTTTTCACCACATTAAACACAATTTCCCAATGTCCCCACTTCTAGGAATTTTCATTGTTCTTTTAGGTAAATTAATAAAGGACAGCTTAGCACATTCTATTAAGCACAAGAACAGTACTAGGAACAAAGGCCTCAAAGATGAAGGCGATCTGGTCCCTGGACTTCTCTTTCATGATGGAGTTTACTTTAAAAGTCATTATGCCATTTGATCCCCCAAAGAGATCTTATACAATCTCTAGACCTCTATTAACATGCCCGTTTTACAATATGGTGAGTGAATGACTTGGCCAAACTCAGCTCACCCAACAGGTAAGCAACAGAGCTGAGATTCACATTCCAAACTTTTAGTTTCCAAGTCCTGTGTGCTTTCTGTAATTCCTCGGCACCCCTTGGGCTGTGGAGCAGTCGCATACATGTGTACATAACTTGCCCTCTCTGTTTCTCGCCAGAGGCAGCCTCATTGTCTTACAGCCCCACCAGACCCACTGGAGAGCATCATAAACCTAACCCCCTTTTTGGTTCACAGGCAACTAAAACATCAGCTTCAAAAAGATAGTTCTTACAGTTTGAGAATTTTATTTCCATTAACCTTACCAAGTTAAGACCTACAGCATTCAGTATCACATTCAAGAAATTTTGCTCCGTGGATTTTTGAAAAGGAAGTCTTTCTCCACACTGGTCTGTCAAATGAACTAAAAGGCTCATCTGAAGCAGGATTCACAGAATGCTTCCCGTACTTTCCTCCCAGTCTGCACCTGTCCCAGGGACCCTCTTCCACGTGCCCTTCACTGTGCTCTTGGTCTGTACGGCTCCTGTGGCTTTCTTCTTCCTCCTCCCCTCACCTAGCATCTTATCAGAACCACCTCCTCAGTCAACCTGTTCCCCACCCTGTAGGTAGACAGCACAGTGAGGCACTGCCACCTACAACCTGCTGATTACACTGAACAAGAGACACCATGAATTTGCCTGAACCTCAGATCCTTCATCTGTAAAATAGGGATAATAACAGCCCCCAATCACAATGTTCTTGGAAAGATTTAATGAACCCAGGCATGTAGAACAGTCCCGCACAACATCTATCTTCATGTCACCCTGGACGGTTTTCATCTGGTGATGTAGATTGTGGCACAGATAGAAAAGCTCTTTTCTATATGCAATAGGCAGGGACTAATCAATGCAGGTGGAGACAAGATTCACGCTAAAATCTGCTTCAAGTCAGCTGACTCTATGTTAATGTTCCTGACTATAAGAAGGCTGCCTTACCCAGAAATGGCAGAAGGATGGAGAGGAAAGCTCAGGACCATTCCTAAAGTCAGTCTGCACTACAGACCCTGAAATACCTTGAGGTCAAGGCTTCTCTGCAGACAGTCAACATTCTGCAGGGATGTGGCCCCAGAAATACAGATGGCCTTCCTGGGCAGAGTAAAACCTAACCCACATGGTCAAGGGTGGAAAGCTCGGGAGCTCAACTGTGTCCAGACTCACCAGTGGGAGGGAGGCCTTGTTTCAGCTCTAGGATGTCCAGGGATACTAGAAGCTGCAGCTTGCAAATAATAGCATGAAAATGAAATCCACTATTGATTGTACAGAGAAAGAAGCAGCTTCCTGTGTACACAGTAAATAAATAGTAGTCCAGCTGCCGTCCAAGAAGGTGGAAGTCAGCCACTCTCTCAAATGCTTATTTCTTCAACATCCTAACATGAACTGTCTGTGGGGTTGCAGGGAGGTGGAGGATGGGAGGAGCTCCCATCTCAATTTTCCTCTGTATTTCTCAAATTGAAAGCATGGTTGTAAAACAGGCTGCACTGTACAGTCATGGAGATGGGTATGAGGCCCCACCAAGATCTACTGACCATGGAACAGCCAACGCCCCACCTATCACTGTTGGTTGTAACACTGGATCTGAATCTTTTGACTTTGTTAGTGTTTGATCCATTGTCCTGCACACTGAATCTGTGATTTCCCCAGGTCTAGAATCTCCTCCCTCACTTGCCAAAGTTCCTGAGTCAGGAAGTTAGGGAAAAACAGTCTCTACCATCTAAAGGATGCAGGGAGACTGCATTGCACCTGCATTTCTTTCAAATCTAGCATGGTTTCTTCTCTACTGTTACTTTGAGGAAGCAGGCTGATTCCTGAGCAAGTTAGCTATGACTTATCCAGCTGACTGCTTGTAGTGAATGTGCCATGTGAAAATAAGAGTGGCATTGTTTAGATCCCATTTAAATAGAAAGTGCAGACAGGAGTAATGCCAGCTCCTTACCCGTATGCACCATTGTTGACTTATTATAATTCCTTTTTTTAACAGACCCAAGAGTGATGGATTTCTTACGTGCTGTTTATACCACACTATACAACTCCAGCCAAGGCACCAAGACGGAGCTGTCGTGCACCCTTTTTGTACAAGTGGGAACACCACTGTCTCCTTGCTTTGTGGAGCAGGTCTCCTTGTGGGCCAACAGCAGTGTGCAGCCAGCTGACTTCAGCAAATTCAACACCACCACCCTCCAGAGCAATGAAGAGGAATCTGGACAACCCACAGGTAAAAGAAAGCTATTCTCCTGCTAAGGTCAAGGGCTGCCAGGACAACAGCACCTATTGCTTGTCAGAAGTCATGGTGCTCAGGCCACCCTCAACTGTAGCAAAAGTTTGTCCTCTTGGGAAACCTTACATTTGGGTGACAGTTCTGTGAAGCAACTAAAGCTGACTCTTGTCCCCTTCTGCCTCTCCCCCCTCCACCACCTCCCCCCCACATAAATATATATGTGCACAAGCTCACACAAGCACAAAAACACACACAGAGATGCTCTCAGAGCTTCCCACCTCTGACACACACTATAGACTTTGTCCTCTGTCTCTCTCCCCTCAGTTTCTACTTATTTGTCTCATCTACAATTATGATATCAAAATGCAGGGGGGACCAAAAATGTGGTTACTTGGAAATTTAGGATAAGGAAATAATTCAAAAGAGGATAAAGTTATATAGAATAAGATGTTTAGCTCTGTTTTGCTGAAGCAAAAGACTATGTAAAACCTCATTTTCCAACAAGAGGTGATTCAGAGGGCCTGCAACTGCCACCATGCCATTGTAATTATTATTGGAAATGATAGCAAGCATTAATCTTTACTGAGCATTTACTTATTTAGCACTCTTTGAAGGTCATTATCTCAGTTCGCTCCCACAATAATTCTAGGAGGCAGACACTGGTATTGTCCCAATTTTACAGTCGGAGGAACTGAGGCACAAAGGGCTGAGTCTCCTGTCTGCTCTGATCCACAAAGCCAGGATTCTCACCCAGATGGCATGGCTCCGGCATCCTTGGAAATTACAAACTTACCCAGCAATATGGAGAACATTCAAGATCCATTGCAGTTTCTAAAGCAGAGTAGAAAGCAATAGGATATGCATTGTAATTGAATAAGCTTGCAGTACTCTCAGTTTTCTAGAATGCTTAACATCTTGTCAATTTATTTAACAAGTTTGAATTCCATGTCTCAGCCAACACCCTCACACCCACCCCAAGGTCACACTTCTTGTTCTCAGCTCCGGGACTGACTTGCACACTACAGTCATCCAGAGCACAAGTCTGTGACCAGGCTCCTCTGGTTCAAAGCCAAGGTTTCTGTCTTGGTAATTGGCTGAACTGTGACTTTGCCCCTCACAAATACGTGACCTTAACCAACTTCTTCCCATGCTAGGTTTCCTCACCTTAAAATGAGGAATAACAGGTAAGTGAGAATTTGCTCGAGAATTTAGGACAGAGCCTAGCACAAAGTGTGTGTTTGTAAAATCAATAAAGGCCTCAGAGCTGACCCTATAAAGGTGTCTGCTCCTGCCTGCTCCTGCTTCTGCTGATGCACGAATTTTAACCCTAGCCCTCCAAAGACCATGCTGGGGGTGTCATTTTCTTAGCAGAGGTTCAGAAAAGGACATGGCCCAGTTTGGGCAGTGGAGACTGGAGGATGACACGATGTGTCACCTTCCCATCACACTATCCAGCCCCTCCAGGGCTCTCGGGGAGGAAGTGCCTAATGGGTCCTGGGAAATATCCCAAAGAGAAGCAGGGGGAGCATCCCTGTTCAAGAAAGAAGAAGAGTAAGATCTTCAGCAACAGCTAGTTATAAACACATAAGTGTGCTGCAATCAACACACACTAAAAGCAAGCGACAGCCTACCTGCAGGTGTCAGGTGTCAGGACCCAGTGTGATTTCTGGGTTCTCACTCCCATTTCCATGGCCCAAGCCCAGGACAGCAAGTTGAGAGCAGCTAGTGTGGCCCTGGATCTCCAGGAGCCCAAGGAACTTAGGGAATGAAGCAGTTTTGAGTAAATGGAAAAGACATTGGTGAAACATGAGACAGAAACAAAAAATGTGGGGCAGGGAAATCACATTATTAAAGTTATCTTGTGTTTTGCACATTAGCTGTGCATGCCTCATCCACATACATACTGTGTCCAGTGCAGTCACAATATACATTTACCCTCCTGCTTGCTCCCCCGCTTCCAGGCAGGGGCCCAGGCGGCCCACCGTGGGAGCAGGCCAGTGCTGTGTCTGTCCAGCTCGCCCTTGTGAGCACCATGACCTTCCAAAGCTCTTGGCAGAGGACATTCTCTTCCATGGACTCACAGCCCCTGCCTTTCACCTGTGCCAGTGGCCTCATCCTTCAGGTCCCCATGATGCACCAGATGGCTGAGGTCAACTACGGTGAGCCCCTCCCCCTGGGTGAGAGGATGTGAGAGCAAACCTGGGCCATGCAGGTGGCAGAGGGAATCCCAGGCCTGTGCGCTTCAGGCGCTGGATCAAAATATGTTTGTCTGTGGTGTCATCCTCTGGGCTGTCAGTTGACCAAAAGACAAAGAGTGGCAGGGAATTCCGAGGGAGCCCCCTAGACAGTGTGTGCCAACAGGACGGTGAGGAGGCAGATGGGGATGAGAACCCAATTCCACACTCAATATTCTCCTCTACATTTAGTAAGAAAGGAGTTCATGGAAAACCACCTTTCGGGACCAAACCACACCCCTGGCAGGCACCTTCATATAGTGGGTGTGGAGCAAGTAGGAAGACTGAGTCTAACAGACTCCCCAAAGCCTACTAGACTGAAGGTCCTGTTGCTTCTGTCAGAACCTTGGCATTCAGTCCTGCTTTGTTCCCATCAGGCACATAGTAAGTGCTCAGGAAATGTATTTGTGAGCTTATGAGATGAAAACTACAGAACATCTGTTGTTAAATAAATATGCATATACGATTAATTATAGTTCTTGTTGTTGTGCTGTTCTTACTGCTGTTCTGACCTCATAGGTGAGTTGGACTGTCAGCTGCCTGGCAGCAGACACGTTCCATGTGACTCTTCTTCCCAGGACACAACAGGTGTGCTGGTGGCTGGCACACAGTGGATGGTGAACAGGGATCTATAGGTGTGTGAGCTATGTAGTGGGAACTATGTGCCCATCTTTTCCTGCGGAGCCTGAGATTCTTAGTCACCTGGCAGCTCTGTTCCCAACCCATACCAGGTCCTTGATCCCCATCCTCCTAGGGACAGGAGCTAAACTAGAGTCCATCGTGAGACTCCCCTGCACACAGGATTGTTTACATTACTCACTGTTCCTTCCATGTTACTTGGCCCAGCCGTGTGACTCCCTGTAATTGGCTATCAGCATCTCCTGCCATCTGCAACCTGTCCCATCACACCCTTCTAAAATCGTGCTTTGGCTCATGCCTGAACTTGTCCTCAGACAGCCACTTTCGCTTCCCATGTGCCCATCCGGATACTATTTTTTAGGTCACAGGTTATAAATGATCAGTCACTGGGTCAAATTGAGCCTGCACTCAGGTTATATCAAGTCTGTGTAGTGTTTTAGAAGTTAAGAAATCTCATAGGACATCTGGATTGAGAGCTTTTATTGAGAATATGGAGATCCAGCACAAAAGGCCTGGGGTCCCCATGAGCCAGAGTTGGATGGGGTGCTCCTTTAGGGCAATGTATATGGTTCTACCTTGTGCCACTGTCCCCACTGTACACAGCTACTGCAAGCCCTCTGACTCAGGCCCTGTAGGGGTGAGGTAGACCCCTGTTTTACCATCTCCCGAACTAGAAACCATGTCCTCCCAGGGTCTGGCACTGTTTGGTTTCCCTGACTTCTGGGACAGAACTAATTCCTGACCCACTGAACCCCCAGGCCAGTTCCAGGATGCCCTAGGCCATCAGGTGTCACTGCTGGAGCTGCCGTACCTGGGAAGTGCAGCAAGTCTCTTCCTGGTGCTGCCCCGTGACAGAAGTACACCCCTGGGCCACATTGAGCCACAACTTACAGCCAGAGTCCTTCACCTCTGGACCAGCAGGCTGAGGAGAGCCAGGATGGATGTGTTCCTCCCCAGGTGAGCAGCTACTCTCCTCCCACAAAGCACTCAAAACCAGCAGTCCACAGGGCCTGGGTTTTGAGTCAGGTGGTCTTGTTCTCGGGCCTATCTTTAATTACTGGGCTGGTACCTAATGCACCCTTAGAACTAGGGCAAGTTACCTTAGAGTTTGAGCCCACAAGTCCTAGAATCATTGCTGTCATGGCACAGAATGAAATGAGCTAACTTTCTGGAGTCTTCTCAAGCTGAGATACTCTGCCTTCACTAGGCAGATTGGAGACCCCAGGCCTCTTGCTCCAGCATCACACTACAACCTGCTGTCGATGGGGGGAGGAGGCATACTGCAGTTCCCTTAGATGAATGTGCCCCAAATCTCATCACATCCTAAGATAACTACCAGTTTTCAGATCACATCTATCAATTTTTCAAAACTCAAGAAGCAAGATTGTTTGTGTAACCAAGCAAATACAACTCCAATCAGAAAACATTAAGACATAACAGTTCAAGACCTAAAGTCTCTCTGCTAAATGTTTTCATTTGTTCTGAATAGGAGGGAACCCCTGTTTTATATAAACCCAGAAGGCACAAATGCAAATTTCCAAAAAGTTAAACGATGACAATAGATTTTGCTTTTCCAAAGCACATTAGCAAGATACATTATTTTTACGAAGTGATTCTGGCGAGGACTTCTCCAGAAGATGAGCTTCTCTGGTACATTTGAAATAAGAGTACAAATAGAACAAATCTGTAAGACCAGAGCCAAGGGAGCAGTGCCATCCAGGAGGCTCAGTGTCAGTGTATGAGTTCTTTGTGGGCCTGTCCACCCATGGCCTTGGTCCCATCCCATGGCCAGGGCTCTCAGCTGCTGAAGACAAAGACCTTGGCTGTTCTCCATCAAGCAGTTAAAATAAGTCCCTCTACTGGAATAACAACAGCAACAAATACAGAGACCCAGCTGTTAGGCCAAGATCTAAAGTGGGATCTAACAACCAAAAGAGAAGGAGAACTTAACTTTCAAATAAAGTCTATCTCTCAAAACCAAATATTCAGACTCCAAAGCAAAGGCCCAGTGAGGCATATTTGAACAGATCTCTGTGGCAGGAGTAGATCCTTCCATTTATGTTTGAGAGAAGCTCAGCGAAGGACAGAAAAGGAGCTCACTGTCAAACACAGAGAGAGAACTCAGCCCACCACAGGAATCTGCTCCACTCATCAGGGTTTAGGAGACAGATAGGCTGCTCCTCCTAGAACAGCTGATGTAAGAAAAAGGCCCCAGGGAAACAGGATTTCCTGGGCTCCATTAAGAACTCCATTAAGTTCCATTAAGAACTCTCCATTCTGTCTGGCTCCATTCTGAACTCTCTACTGTCTTATTATTCTGCTTTTAGAAATACCAAACCCGGGGTTGGGGATTTACCTCAGCGGCAAAAGCGCCTGCCTGGCAAGCGCAAGGTCGTGAGTTCGGTTTCCTGGTACCGGAGAAAAACCAAAAAAAAAAAAAAAAGAAATACCAAACCCTTGCCAGGCATGGTGGGTCATGCCTATAATCCCAGCACTCAGGAGGCTGAGGCAGGAGAATCACTGCAGTTTGAGGCCAGTCTAGGCTACATAGTGAATTTAAGGCCAGCCTGAACTACACAGTGAGACCCTGTCTCAGAAAACAAAAACCAAACAGACAAAAGAAAAACCAAACCCTTGAACAATAATTCCAGAAAACACCATAGGGCAAAGGAGAAAGGGAGGGAAGGCAAGGATCTTAGTGACCCAACTAGTAATTAACAGTTGACCTTGCTGTGATAATTTTTTAAATCTCCTCAAAAGGATAAAAAGTTTTAGAAAAATGAGGCCATTCCACCAGCAAATCTAACCTATTTTTAAAACACTAGCTTGTTAGGTGCTCTGCTATATACCTGTACTTCTAGCTATTCAGGAGGCTGAGGTAGGAGGATCAAAAGTGTGAGACCAGCCTAGAAAACTTCTTGAGACCATATCAAAATAAAAAATTTAAGGGACCAGGGATGTAGCTTAGTGGTAGAGCACTTGACTAGCATATGCATAGGCCTAGGTTCAATCTGTGAGAACTTGCTTTAAAATGTAAACTCATTAGGGAATAAATGTAAAAGAAGTAAAAACTGTTTTGGGTCTAGATTTAAGTATAAACTTTGGACAGTGGTAGACACAAAGCCAATTTTTGGCAAGAATTTACCCCTAGTTCCCTCAAATCATTCATTCATCAATTACTATAATATACTCTGTTATACTAAACACATGCTCTTTTCATTAAAGAAAGAGCATAAATTTTGCACACTGCGGGCAGCAATGCATTGTGTGATAATGAGATGTGCTTTTGGATTAAACATCACCAATCTGTTCATTAGTAGCTTCCATTAATTATGATACCTAACTTCCAAAGTAGCCCTTGATTTGAAGAAAAAAATTTAAATGCATAGGGACTATTTGTCTTCACATAGTATATTAAAGAAATAATCAACAAAACCAAGAATGAGTGTTTAAATGTCATTTATATCCACAATCACATAATGCCCACAGGAAAGACTAATAATATCAAATATTCATTTAGTGAGTAAACGCCATCAACATATTAAGATGCTGAACCTAAGCATTTTTCTGATATTACTGGTTTTAAAAAGTGCCTGATGCTGGGTGCTTTATTTTTAAAAAGTGAAAGCACATTTAGCACAGAATTCTGGAGATCCATGAGCATGATGCCAGCATCTTCTCTGTTCCAGTGAGGGCTTTCTGGCTACATCATAACATGGCGATGGTGTCATGGCAGAGGTGCGTGTAGGACAGGGGGACATCACCTGGTGAGACAGAAAGCCAGAGAGATTTAAGGGCCAAGCTTGCTCTTTTTTTATAACAACCTATTCATGGTTACTACCTGCAGGAACTACATTAATTCCTTCAGAGTGCAGTCCCCCCCAGTGACATAATCACTTCCCCTAGGTCTCACCTCTTAAAATTTCCATCATAAAACACCATCATGCAGGGACTAAGCTTCTAACGCATTAATGTGTGAGGGACACTTTTAAACCATACGTAAACCACAGCGGGTATGTCTTTGTTAAATCAACCAAATCTCGTATATCCAAAATGAGTTTTACTCTTCTTTAAGGAACTGCTGATCATCACCATGTATGGTTTGTGCTTATCTAAGGATATTTTCTATTTTTTTAAGTTGAGGTATAACTCGCATAATGTAAAATTCATTCCTTTTAAATCCATGGTCCGTGAGTTTTTAGTATGTTCACAAAACCTTCCAACCATTACTACTATCTAATCATTCCAGAACATTTTCTTCTTTTTTTTTTTTTGGTTTTATTCCAGTAAGGGAAATCGAACTCATGACCTTGCACTTGCCAGGCAGGCACTGTGCTGCTGAGCTAAATTCCCAGCCCCCATTCCGGAACACTTTCATCACCTCAAAAAGAAACCCCAAGGGCTAGGGATGTAGCTCAGTGGCACAGAGCTTGCCTGGAAAGCTCAAGGTCCTGAGTTTGATTCCTGGTACCAAAAAAAAAGAAAGAGAGAAAAAGAAACCCCATACCTATTTAGTTATTTCTCACCTCCAACCCTAGCCCTAGGCAACCACTAATCTACTCTGTCTCTATGGATTAGCCTCTTCCAGATGTTTCAGGTAAATTAAATTATACAGTATGTGGCCTTTTGTGTCTGCCTTCTTTCACGTACCATACAATTTTAAAGGTTCATCCTTATTGTAGCATAAATCACTATTTATTCCTTTTTATGGTTGAATAATATTCGTTGTATTGATATACTACACTTTGTTTATCCCTTCAATAAGTTATACATATTTGAGTACCAACAGTTTTTGGCTTGGGTACTACAAGCATTAAAATGCATATCGGTTTGGGGGGAAATCTATATTTTTAATTATTTTGGATATACATAAGAATAGGACTACTGGGTCATCTCTGAGACACTGTCAGAATGTTTTCCAAGCAGTGGCACCATCTTATATTCCCATGAACTGTGCATGCAGGTTTCCATTTTTCCGCATCCTTGTCAACACCTATAGCCATCCTAGCTGGCGTGAAGTGGTATCTCACAGCAGATTTTATTTGAATTTTTCCTAAGCATTTTTTGATATGTTTGTCATTTGTATAGCTTTTTTA